CATCAATCATTCCATCGAACATTTTCAATTGAAAAAAATAAAATTAAAAAAAGAAATGAGAAGATTTTGTGAGAAACGACAATTAGAAGTTTGCAGAATAGAAGAAAGAAAATAAGATCAAAAGATGTGTCAACAAAATGAGCATTGCAGTATGACATATGAATATAAAAGCAAAAATAAAATACGAATTTGCACAGCTAGAAACAAACTTTCTAGAGGATAAAACAAAACAAACATAAAATACAATGCAGGGACCACTTCGTTTCGAACTTTCTGATTAAAAAAATTGTAGAGAGTAAAATTACAATTTGAAAATAATACACATCAAAGAGATACACAGAGAGAAACTTGCAAAAACACTATCAGAACTATAAGGAACGACGATGATGATAACAAAAAGTAACGAAAGATATGGGCATTTCCGAAGCTATTTGAATCGGCGAGGAAAATAAGCAATATTCTAGAACTCGCCAATAATAAGTACCTTTTTAAACTACGGATTCAAAAAACTGTTCTGGGAATAACGACATTTGAAGGATTAATGTATTTTTTATAATTTAATGATAGATTAAAATCGTGCCAATTCCTAATCGTCAAATGGAAGTGTAAAATGATTAGAATTTCCAGAAAATTCGGTTATTTCCTTCATGTAATAGAAAAAAGTGAAGAAAAAATATTTTTCAAAAATTCGAACGTGATGGTGAAAATAAGTAAACTTTGGAAAAAACTTATTACATTGTAAAGAATGCAATGAAGAATGGAAAAGAAAGGAACGTAGCGATGATGAACAGTGACGTAATCAGTGACAAAAACAACAAATGTACTCATGAATATCCAAATAAAATTACACAATTTTGAATCATATGGGAAATTATCAGTTTCACACAAAAATTGGTAAAACATTCAACTTTTAAAAACAATGTAAGCTAAAACAAAAAAGCATGGAAGTAATACAAACTAACAAACGTATGCATTCACTGAAAAAAATATCAAACCTATTCAAACAGGTTTGATTAAATGCTTCCGAAAAGTTAAATTTTCTTCTTGAAATTCGAAGAAAAAGCACACAATAAAATAATGTATATTAAAAGAATTTCAAATTTTGAAATTCACGTTCCCTATATGAAACTTAAAACTTTGCACTAACATCCCACTTCGATATCCAATTCACCATAGCGATTGACACAGGAATAAAGTATTGCAGGAGTGAAATATGTTTCCTAAGTTTTAAGCATACCGGCAAGATTAATGGATTGAAAACGAAAAAATTACAAATATCTCAAAATAACTAGCTAACATTAAAAACTTTTGTAGGTGGTCATATTCAGTCACCAGGATATGTGAAATTCACTGCACTGAATAAGACCATGGGAATGAGCAAAATTCAACACTGGTGAGAAACACGATCATTTGCTCCTCGAATTTGCACACAGTCAAGGTAATAAATGATGACATCTCTCAGGTACAATAACTCCCTTCTTTTGACAACAACGAATGGATCATTCTATAAACCAAAACAAAATTCTAGAGAAAAACTATGATCTTTAAACCTGTGTATAAAATTCAATTCCCACAAAAACACTAGAAAAACTTTCAAAAGAATTTTACCTCTGCAAAAAAAAGGTTGAAAAAGACGCAAAGCTAAAAAATATATGTAATGATGTACAATAATGTGCAAAAGCAAATGCAACATACCACACGAGCACTCCTGCCAGCAAAAAGAAATCCAGAAACGACAAACAGACAACATATATCAGAGTAAAGCAAAAGCTGT